GTTCCTGACTAAACCAAGCTTTTTTTTTTTCAGAAATGAATCTGGTTCCTAGGTCGACCTGCCTTAAATGGGTTGTCAGGTGAAGTCTTGGGAAATAAAGGCGGCTGGCCTGATATCGACCATATCACCTTTCATCTGCCTTGGGTACAGTTTTTATTTCTCTTTCATCTGACATTCTTTCAGTCCGCCCCAACCATTTCAGTCGTATTGCTCTCATGATGCCAATGATCAGTGGTGATTTAAACAGATTATGAATTTCGCTATGAAACCCACAGGTGGGTTTCCTCTGTGGGCTCGCATTAAAAAATATATACTATAATCAGCACCCATCCTTTATTTTACTGGGAACAAATTTAGCGGACAATTATTCATTGCCAAACAATGTTTGCAAAGGCTAATCAAAAACCATTTAATTTAAGGGACAGGCGGCGTTTAACTAATCTCTTCTCCATCATACAGAAGGCTCGGTTTGGTTAGATAGACTGAGGAGTTTGTGGGTAGTGTCGGAAGCGGGGAAAGTTCGGTGAAAATAACAGCACACTTACTGGCTGGTGTTAAAATACTTCCACCGGACGAAAGGGGACAACAGGTGCCCTCAATTTGGAACAAAGGAAAGACGTCGCGCTGACTGTGACAGGTGTTGTTCAGTGTCCAGAGAAAGTCGGTCCCTATAACAGCTACAACGTTGCCCGTCTGAACATTGGCTGCACATGACGTGTCAAGTCGGAAGCCGCAAGTAGTTCTTGGAAGGATGCTATTAAGGAGAGACTTGAACTATCCCCCGCCCCCTCCCCCCCCCTTTTTTTTTATAGACTTACTCTTTCTTACCGTTTTCGACTTCACAATACAAGTTGTCATAGGGTTGATGATAATGATGATGGTTAGGTTAGTTTAGTTGCTTATCCTTTACAGGACGTTGCAGAACCAACCCCAGCAGCTGCAAGCTGTTGTGTGGTTTCTCTAGGCAAATTTACGTCTAGTAGTTTGCCATTGCCTCTGGACGGTCGGCTACCTTATACCACTGTCGAAACCAACGCAAGGCGCCTGGCCCGCAGCTGGTATCGAACCCGGCACCCCGGTTTTACATCGACTTAGCCACAGAGCCGACAATGATGATGGAGAAAAGCGAATAGTTGGAACATTCTCTTTTCATTCGCAGTCTTTCCACAATTTCTTTATTTGAAATACGACTTATTGTATCCACATTTACAAAAAACTTATCCTGTTTTCTAGTTTCTTGTTCGTAGTCCAGCATTTTGCACAATACAGTAGAGTTGAGTTTACATAACATTTGGCGATTCTCATTTTCTCAATGTGTTGCTTATCTCTCTAGCTATCAGTGATGTTCGCATCTTTTTGAAGATAGTTTTAGCCATTCGTGGTCTCGTTTTGATTTCTCTTCACTGCATCTTTTATTACGTTGTGGTAAGTAAAAGTAAAGGTCCCCTTTCCATAGGGCATGATCTATATTTTTTATAGACCAATCGGCACAAGATGGATGATGTGGTCAGCATCACACCGGCCGCCTTTACTTTCCGGGACTGCACCCGGTATCCACTCAAGGCTGGGTCGTCCTTTGAGTCAAGGTCATTTTTGGAAAAAGTCCGGCTCCGCCAGGGAGCGACTGATACACACGCGAGCGTCTAGCCACTAGGCCACGGCGACTCCCATTGCGTTGTGGTGGGTACGGGCCACTTTATTTCTAGGGGGGAAATCCTGATCTCTAGTAAATCTAAATCTGTATTTCCTCCCGCTGAGTAATATAAGTCTCCCACGGGAAAGACCAAGTCAAGAGCCAACTTGTTAAACACAAAAATAAACGGGCTATTTTTGGGCGCCTAATCAAGCATAAGTGTAAACGCCGATAATCTGACGCTGATAATCTTTGTGACTCTTCTACCAGATTTATTTTTGCAGTCGACAAGAAACATATTTCGTCCAGTAAATAAAAACATATATATATCGTAAATGAGCTTTCTCAAACCACTGGAGTTTAAACATGTTAGACCAGTATATTTGCGCAGACAGTCTAGCCTGTATTGCCTGGGTGTTTACCTGGTACACATTTATTAGTTTAAGGCTGTGTCGACGTAGCAGCCAAGGTCTTCGGTTGAATCCGACTCGATGCGATTTTGAACTACAGCATTCGGACCTGTGTGCGAGTGTTTAGCCGTTATACCACGAAAGCTGCGGAAGAAATTCTTTAGTGCCGCACTGAATGAAGTATACTTCTTGAAAGAATCAGCAGAGTTTGACCAACCTAAAGGTGGACACAAAACATTATAGACACTTTAGACTAGACATTAGACAAATGCACAAAACAACGATACTGCCAAGAGATGTAGTCTTTCCGACGGGGCGTAGCGAAAATGATGTTCTGCAATTAAGCTAGTTAGTAACAAGAATGAAATGGTATTATTTCACTTTGTAAGAGCATATGTCCCTAAAAAAGAGAATAGTGGCTTTTGAGTTAAAATGCTATAGAAAGATTTTTAGAATATCTTGGGGGGGGGGGGGATACTGAATTCATGAAAGATCTGAACATCAAGAAAAATTGGCTAATAAACAGCAACTTGTCTCGGAAGCTGAAATATTTAGTTCATATCACGCGCCACTACCGACTGGAAAGAATTATAGCAGAAGGCAAAGTACGAGGAAGGAGGGGCAGGGGCCGACCAACACGAAGATGGGTACAGGATATAAGTGACTCCTTGAGAATGAAAGTGCATGAGGCGGGAGAGCTGGTGAGAGACCGAGTTACTTTCAGGCAGACCGTTGTGAGAGCGACGTGTGCAAAGAACGATGATAATGAAGTTAGCATATAATGTTGTTTTATTCTGACCTCTGTTTCTTATCTGACCGCAAATAATTTGTAACAATTTGTAAAATGTAGACCTAGCCCTATATGCCTACTAGTCCTGAAAGCGTGGACAATGATATGTTACTTTACTTGACTTCCAGTTTCCCGTTCATATTTGTAAGGCACAGCAGTTCATTCATCTCACCCACCTCATGTGTCCCGCCCGCTCACAACTGCTACTATCTGTTTGTACCAGTCACACTCGTCCATATTTTGTGTATCTATGTAGTATTGTTTAATTTGTATGTGCTGATGAAGGCTCAATAGCCGCAACGTTCACGTTTTGTTTGTATTTGTTATATTGTGAATTTGCTAATATACTTTTCGTTCGGTTTTGTATCTTTTCTTGATTTTTGTAAAGCAGCGAATGTCCACTTATCGTTTCGATCTCAAACACCTTTCCCCTCCCACAAATACTTGAACAATCTGTCCATCTGTATGTGGGTCGTAGCTAGCGTTGTCGTCATCTTGAGAGCTCCTGGAAACGTGCGCGCATTCATGTCGACCAGCGGTTTTCAACCTGTGGGTCGTCCCTACTCTTTTGGGGTCGAGCGACCCTTTCACAGGGGTCAACTAAGACCATCGAAAAACGCATATTCTCTGAAGTTATGAAGTGGGAACTAAAATAATTTATGGGTGGGGGGGGGGGGGGGGGTCCAACACCATATAATGAACTGTATTAAAGGGTCGCCGCATTAAGAAGGTTGGGAACCCCTGATATAGACTGAGTGAAATCTAGACAAAATATTACCGAGGTCACGAAATACGTCATAACTTGTTTATCTTAAGCAGTTATTATGTAGAATGTTATGCTGTTAGGTAAAGTTGTTAAAACATCAACATACATACACGTATACGCATAGTTGTGGACTCATGGAATCCCGATAATGAACAGCGTGATGGATTATGTAAATGCTGGAATAGGACTTTCCAAATAAACAACAAAGAGACAAAGTGAACACATGTATTATCCATTATTTCAAATGTTCAGACACTGGACTGAATATTGCAATTATAATCCATCCAGATATTCAGTATAAATACTGCCGTTGCTGCTGCTACTACTACTGTTTCTGCTGCTGTTTCTACTACTACAACAAATGCTGCTACTACTGCTGCTGCTGCTGCTACTATTACTGCTGATGCTACCTTGACTACTACTATGTCGACTAACTATACTACTACTACTGCTGCTGCTGTTTCTGCTACTACTACTACTGGTACTGTATCATTGACTAATACTTTATATTACTCCCCATGTGGGTTCCAAGGGCCCATTTTTGTGGGAAAAGGGGGGGGGGGTACACCACGTGCTCCCTTAACAAGCATGTCACTAAAGGCAATTAATTATAATGTTTTCTTTCAACATTTATGAGTGCAGAGTACATCTGCCTGAGAGAGGTGAGCACTCAGCAGTCTGCACACAAACAAGCCAGATCTGTTATACAGATGTGCACGCAGAACTCAGCTTTTGAGCAAGACTAAAGTGCAGAAGTGGGTGGAACTTGCCAGGGAAGTCTACAGCTGGTGTATACTATGAGCAAAAGAAACAGCTACAGCTTTGCTTACTACTTGTTTTTTCTTCGGTCTGCTGACTAAGCTGAGAATATGATTTAATTTCCAGCGTGTAGATTCAAACGATGAGTGGTGTTTTGCGATGAGTGGTGTTTTGCCCACGCGTACAGTCACCACAGAATACCGAACATGTGCTACAGACACATCTCTACCTACAGTAGAGAGATCCTGGGTCTGGTTGGTTGGTGTTCCTATGGCAATCAAACTATATGGAATAGTGGAAGACATGTGTGGCACCAGAGAATTCATGGAGGCTTGTGGCCTTCCTGTATGAAAACTGGCATCAGAGGAAGGGCAAGATGGTCAGACCACTACTAGACCATTGGGTATTGGAACTATGTGTTGGCTGCTGAAGATGGGGTTGGCACGATTTTGCTATTACCCCAAATGCTGTGATGTTAGTTCTTAAATCAGCTCAGCTAAACTCAAACCTTCAACAGAAACAATGGAAACAAGAAGAAGAAATGATTATATAACCTGTCTGTGGGCTACTAGTTAAACGAATTTGGATTTGATTTCAGATGTTTAAAATCAGGTGTTTGACTGTCTTTTCTCTGGTCTTCAGGCTACACTGGGATAAACTGTGAGAATGAGATCGATGAGTGCAACACGCCAACTGGCAACCCGTGCTACAATGGAGGAATATGCCAGGACCACATCAACCGCTTCAGCTGCTCCTGTCCAGCAGGTGTGTAAGGAAGCTGTGTCTTAACTCTTTCTTTTGCTGTCCACACAACAAACTTTTATTCTTTTCTTTCATCCAGTATCTGTTTTGTGCTGCTAGGTGTCACACTTTAGCAGTCAAATTAGGGCACACTCATTTTCTTGGTGTGTTATAAAATCTGAGGCTGTCATTGACTTCTTCAATCCATTTCTTCTAGGTCTACCTCTGTATCTGGGTGTTTCCATGTTCATGCTGTAAGTTTTCACCATAAGCATCATTGGATTCAGTCTCATCAGGTGACCAAACCATTTCAGTCTTTGATTCTCGGTGAATTTGACAGTGGATATTGTTCCAGCAAAGTTACTAATTTCTTCATATCTCACAGGATCTCTTCTGGTTTTATTTGCAGCCTTTTTCAAGCATCTCATTTCACAATTGGTTAGTTGCTTTCAAGGCTTTTAGTTAGTATCCCCAAGCCTGACACTGATAACCTAAAATTAGAATAAAGATTGTATTTATAATTTGTCTTTAAAAAAATCTATGTACGGATAGCTGGGTTTTTTCAAGACTGGGGTATGATGCAGTCAATGGCTAGTACATAATCTCAACTTTCCATGGATATGTCATGTATTTTATTCAACCCACCCTGAATACATCACATTTTTGTCCTGCTTCTCTCTCTCTCTGGATATGTCACATAACTATAACTGTCCATTTATTTGTCACATACTTCGCCTAACTCCTTTTTTTTAAGTGTCGTAAACTCCTCCTCACTCTGTAAGTCACATAATTCAACTGATTCTCTTTTTATCTGTCACATACTTCTCACAATGCTCCATTTATAAGTTACATACTTTTCCTAACCTAATCTTTATAAGTCACATAATTGTCTCTTTATCTGTCACATTCTTCTCCTCATTCTCTTTGTAGACATCACTTCTCCTAACTATACTTCTATATGTCACATAAGTTTCCTGTATATGTCACATAAGTTTCCTTTATATGTCACATATGTTTCCTTTATATGTCACATAGGTTTCCTTTATATGTCACATAAGTTTCCTTTATATGTCACATATGTTTCCTTTATATGTCACATAGGTTTCCTTTATATGTCACATAGGTTTCCTTTATATGTCACATAAGTTTCCTGTATATGTCACATAGGTTTCCTACCTCCAGCATTATAAATCACAAACTCCTGACTCTGTAAGTCATGTAATTCTCATAAATTCTGCTAACTCTCACTTTCTAAGTCATATAGTTCTCCTAACTCTCCCATTATGTGTCACATACTTCTCATAACTCTTCCTTTATATGATATACATCTAACTCCCCCTTTGTCTATCACATACATTTCCTAACTCTCCCTTTATACATCACATACATCACATAATTCTCCCTATAAATATTATGAATGTTTCCTCTCCCACCCTGGCAATACCACATGTATAGTTTAATATGCACCTGTGATATTACATTGCAGGATTTGAAGGCAGAACGTGTGAAATAGACATCAATGAATGTGAAAGTTCTCCTTGCCTCAATAATGGAGTCTGTACAGACAAAATCAACAACTATATTTGTGAATGTAAAAGAGGTAGGCATTCTTAGTGGTCACGTTGCTGTTGTGTTAATCATCATCTGCCTTGCTAGATACATCATTCTTGTCTGTCAGTTCTGAAGTGCTTACCCACACAGGATTGCAGCTTACTTTGGGCTGATGTGGCCATTACAGGTGCTGTAGTTATAACGTCTTTGAAAGGTGTATCTGGGACTGGGCCCTGTTTGTCTGCCATCTAAACTGGGGTTTTGTAATTGTAGGGTGGTCAGATCTTCAGATGGGCAGTCAAGAGGTAGTAGGAAGGATATGGGTACAGATTTGAATCTCTTCACAGATATTGGTGTGCTGAATTCATTCTTACATTAACTTACACTGGTTGAATGGAGAGACAGTTTGAACACAAAAGGCAGAACATAAACCCAAATAGCTGCATGTGTAGTTGAGTGATTCCACAAGGGTGTCAAAACTGGCCAAGAGAAGAAACCAACCCTTCTGTAGGACATCATTTGCTTGATTCCGGACATATCACTGGGAAGGACAGTGCTTTCCACAGTATTTGTCACACACCGAACAGGCGATTACTGAGAAGCTTTCACAGTAAAAATGAACAGTCCACCCTTATGTAAACAGAATGAATTCAGTATAAATTTGAAGTTTTCTGGTAAATCACATGAATATCATGAACTTCCAGCGATTAGGCAAATAGTGTATCACGAGAAAGCATGTTTATTTTAGTAGAAATTTTAGTGGAATC